TAATTTTTATTTCTTTTTTATTTTTGAGAGAGGTCTTACTGAATTGCTGAGACCAGTGTTGAACTTGAGATCCTCTTGCCTCATAGCTGAACTTGTAGGGATGCACCATCATGCCTGGCTCTGATCTCTGTTTGTAAATGGGTTGACTGTCAGAATTTGTATCCAGGCACAGCTTTTCCCGTCTCACTGGAGGTTCGGAGAGCTGGCTTTTCTGCTGTATACTTTTCTATGACTACAAAGCAACCATGTTCATATCTCAGGACAAGAGCAAAATCTAAAACTTTGAGGAACATCTCATATTTTTGCCACCATTCCTCCTTAAGGGAATATAGTTCTCTTAGATCGTGAATCCCAGGCAGGGTGTGAGGAGCCAGACTCCAGGGACAGTGAGGATGATTTGCTGTGCCCAGCATTGGGGACTGTCGTGTGGCAGAGGCCGAGGTGCCTCGATCCCTCTGAAGAACAATTGCTGTGGCAGGTACTTGGCTTTAGCGGGTGGCTTCACAGGTTTCCAGGGCAGTTAAAAGTCTGATACAGTGGAGTGATCTCTCAATCTTGAGAAGAGAAGATGGAAAGGTATCAACACAAGTAACAGTGGCTTTTATTTTGGCTGGGAAAGTCCTCCCCGGGTGCTGTCTCACGCTAACTTTACAACATCGTTCTACAACAGGCAGGGTGAGAGGCAGAGTGATGCGCTCATCGTCACGTAGTGATGTTAATGGCCAGCAAGCAGCCCGCAGTGGTTTCCCGGCAGGATGAGCGTAGCCTGAGCAGACCAGCCACTCTCTGCACCATCTTTTTTTTTTTTTTTTGGTCTTTTTGAGGTAGGATCTCAGACTTGCTTTGAGTGCACTTTGTAGCCCAGGCAGTTCTAGAATTGGTAATGATCCTCCTGCCTCAGCCCTCTGAGTGCTGGGATTATAGACATGTGCCACCAGGCCTGCCTGCACCCCCACTTTATTTATTTATTTATTTAAAGATCAGAATATTTATTGGGGGAAAGAAAGCTTCTGTCCAAGAGAGGGACAGAGGGTGACCTGAGCAGGCTCTTCCTATCAGAACTTTAAACCGGTGAACTCTTTCTGTCCATTCTCCAAATGTGCAAATCTGTTTTTACCAAGAAGTAAAGCACTTTCTCTGTTGTGGCTCTAGGTAGTCAGATCTTTAATCTCAGCATTTCCTCCCTGTTGTAGAGGCCCTGAGGCAGTTTCTCCTGTATTCAATTATGAATCCAGTGTTCTGGATAGGACCCCATCTCGCTCCCTTCCCCCATGCAAGAATTTAGGCCATCATGGTTTGTTCTGTCAAAGGTGCCATGGCTAGACCTCTGGTCGATGTGATTATCTGGTTTTAAAAATCCAAATCCAAAGCTAAATGTCTCTCTTGTAGGCTCTTACACAGAACTACTGAAGACTCCTGTCAAAGGCAGCTCTGAAGCACATCACTCTGGCCTCCATTTTTGTAAGGCATATCGTGCACTGGATAGGGTGGGAAGGAAAGTATCGCCTTCAAAGGCCAGGTGGGCAGAGAGCATGCTGCAGGTCTCCATCTCGAGAACCAGCAGCAGCTGAGTTCCCAGTGTGAGGCGAGAGCCGCTTAGCTGAGGACGGAAATGATGGGCTCCTGACCAAAAAGTCAAAAACAAAACTAACAGCCATGCAAGCGGAGGATGTAGAAGTACTTCAAAAAAGAGAAATCCCCCAATACATAGGAAAGCATCTTTAGGACCAATCAAAAGTAGAATGGGAATAATTATTAAAGAGGTAAAGATAAAGAACAACAACCTGGTGGCTTCCTTTTGGCCAGGTGCTCTTTCTAGCCATTTCCAACTCACATGGTGATGACTCTGCTGGCCTTTTGGCTATTTTTCTTTAAGTCTTTGTTTTTAAAAATTTTTTTATTTTAGGGAAGGGTCTACAGGATGTTCAGGTTTTCACTGCTAGACTGGACTCGTAGTGATCTGCCTATTTACAGCTTCCCAATAGCTGAGATTACAGGCATGCACCACCATGCCCAGTCTCAATTGCCATCTCAGTGCGCCCTAGGGGTGGGGCTGGCATGGCAGGCCTGGGGATCGAACCTCCAGACCCTGTGCCTGCTTGCAGGTGCTCTAATCTGCTAAGTTATTTGGCAGGCCCCCAAGTCTTTGTTGTTTTTGTCTCTTGGTTAAGTTCATTTATTCTTTTAGACATCTCTTACCATTTAAGACCTTAGGAGTACAGTCTGAGTATGTGGGTACATTATACCAATAGCATGTTTTCAGGTTTATGAAATGTAGTAAAGAGTGTCTAAAGGAATCAATGTTTCATTTTAAAACTTCTTAACTAGAAAAGTCATAATTTCTCGACTCAGGCTAAATTATTCTTCCAGGGTATGCCTCTGTGTGGGTTTGCCATATATAACATTCTGGAGGAACAATCAGATCTTAGGAGTATAAATCTTGATTACTGAACTCCTAACCACTGGGAATGAATGTATTGGAGCAAGTCTCTTGTGGTGGCCTGTTGCTGGGTGTGCATTTAGGGGTAGAGGATCACTCGGGAATTTTACTGAGATGATTCTGGGTACAATTTGCCGCATCGCGGGGTCAGCTTTCCACTCGCTACTGCGGACTGGAGATGTACTACCGTGACCTTCAGGGCTCCCCTTTTCCTTCCCCTGAACCCCTCTAGTAACTGGAAGCAGCAGGGTTGGTGGCTCTGTCTGTGAGATTATGTGGTACCTCTTAGAGCAGTTGTTACACAGATAGACCATTGTCCCAGCATCACGGAATGACCCTGGGATGGGACAGTGGAAGCTATTGTCATGGTTAAATGTCAGGTAGCATTGAACGAGGTGGAAATACCTTTTCACAAAGCTTTGCAGTCTCTGTCGGTCCTCACCAGTCATCTGGAGAGTGTTTCTACAGTGAGGGCTTGCAGAGCTATGAGCCCTTCAGAAATCATGCTCAGGAGCTCTGTGCTGAGGCAGATAAAAGGTAAGTAGATCTCACGTAGACGAGAGCGTCCCTGGGTGTGTGGAGTACAGCATGTACTGGACAGTGCTTCATCTAGCTTTGTGGGATTCTACGGGACTCTGAAGGTGTGAACCTGTGAAAATGAAATTGAACATCTGATCAGCAGGCAGTTAAACAAGCCATCTTTTACACCAGTGGTTTTCAACTGAGGGTGATTTTTATGTCCCAGTTCACATTTGGCAATGTTTGAAAATGTTTTCGGTTTTTGCAATCAGGAAGGCGGCTAGTAGGGCGATCCAGGGACGCCGCTGAATGTTGGGCGGTGCGCAGGACAGCTCTCCTGAAGGTGAATCATCTGACCCCAAGTGCAGCAGTGCTGAGGCTGGGCAACTGCACTTTATAGTTACTTTTTTTGTGTTCAAAACTTAAAACCTCAATTCATGGACAGGAAGTGTTTGTAATGTAACAGAAAGAAGAGGGAGAAACCAAAACCCTAAACAGTGCTGTCAGAGAGACATCCGTGTGAACTTCAGAGATCCGGTGATTGTCCTATACTTGAGATTAAGTACTGTGTATTGTGAATGAGTGAAGGAAAAAGGATCTTTTCAGCCTTACTTACATATATCAGTGCTTTTGGGAAATTCCAGTGGGAACTTTTCTTTTTCTTTATTATGAATTTTTCCAACTGGTTTTGATCAAAGTTGATGACAGACTGTCAGGAGTACATTTTATCTACTGGCCCAATTGAGACAGCAATCATATTTTTGTGCCTGTGGAAACAGAGGCGAGTTACTTGAGATTTCTGTGACTCGCTGTTCCCATTTCTAGCGAGTGATGTTGGTAATAGGCGAAATAGAATTTTAAGTTAGAAGAATAATAGGATTTTAGCTTAGCGAGGTAATACCTGCTATATGCAGTTGTTGCAGAGATTATAAATAACATATGCAAAATATTTATCACTGTTAATTATACAGCAATTAATAAATTATAGCTATTATGGTAGTGCTGGCTTTGACAGTATGGAATCCATAAACTTCCTAGTAAATTTTAAGTAACTCTTTGTCATACACCCTATCTGAAATGTACACGTATGTTTCTAAAGAAGCATCTTCTTTATGTGTGTTTATTTTCAGAAATGCCTAAAGCAGCTCCTTGCAGCCCAGAAGGTGGTCCAGCAACTCAGGGGAACATGCAGCTTTGTGAGGACTCCCAGTGTGCTTGGGAAGGTATGGGGCGGAGGCTGTGCGTTTACCCCTCCTTCCTACCCTCCTCGCCTGCCTACTTCATTTTTTCCTTACTTTAGACTATATTAATATTTATACTCTTAAATGCAGTTAGCCCGAGGGTAAGATTCTAGCAGTTCTCCTCATCCTGCGCCGTAACCAGCTCCACTTCCAAGTCCTGCCTTCTGCGGAGGCAGCCGTCGCCGCAGCTCTTCCTGCTCCTCCCCTACAGTTACACCGACTCTCCACATAATGTCGGTACACTGCTACTTCTTACATTTTAGACATAGCCACGATTCGCTAGTTTAGTAGCTAAGAACTTAGTTTTCCTCCTGCTTCATTGTTACTTCAGTCTCTGGACATGCTTATAGCGTACTTTAAAAAACAAGAATTCATAGTATTTTTATGGTCCTACTATACAGCTGTCTTCACCACTGAGCCAAGTAGCCACAGAGAGCGCGCTTCTCTTCTAGGATACCTGTCCAGTGCACCCTGTGCAAGGAACTGTTCATGTTTCCCCTAATTGTCTCAGTGCTTGGTTCCACAGCTAATGGTGACATTTCCACGAACCTTCGATCTGGTTCCCCGTTTCCTTGGTGACCTCCTGACAAGCCTGCTGAATAGGCTGGTCTAGTTGTGCTATTGTCATTCCAGGACTTCTCTGATGTTAGAGACACTATTTCTGAAAATGTCTTTCTGGTTTCATGCTTGAGCCAAAATGTTGTCATAAGTTCTACCTCCACTCAGAATTTTGAAGATATTAACTCATTACATGAGTTCATTTTATGGATTTTGAAAATGGATTTTTTGTATTTTATGGATTTTGATGAATATATAATGACATGATTCAATATTACAGCATCATACCAAATAGTTTCACTGCCCTAAAAATCCTCTGTGCTTTGCCAATTCATTCTTCTGTTCCCTTTGGCAATCTTTGTTTTGTATTTCTAGGTTTTCTTTTTCCATGATATTGTGTAGTTGGAATCATCCAATATTTAACCTTTTCAAACTTGCTTTTTAATCTGCATGTCAGCTTCTTTTGTGCTTTGTCATGTCTTGAAAGCTCATTTGTGTTCGGTGCTGAATATCGGTATGAGGCATGATCAGTAATTAAAACAGCTATTACAGTAAATGGCACATTGGCAGTAATCCTTCTCAGAGACTCCCCCTGCGTCCGATACGCTTATACTCTCATTGCTGCTGCTTTGTGAAGCCGTTCTGGAACCCTCTGTCACGATTGTCTCTATGAGGTGTGATAAAAATTATGGTGAACACAGCTTCTAAGTGCATCCAGTGGAAAAGCAGGCTTGCAATATGGTGGGTCTTTATCCATCTGACTCTTGAGCTCCGGCACCATGTGACTTCTGGCTCTTTCCAAAGTCAAAATGACGAGGAAAGGTAAACATTTTGAACCAATATAGGGTGTGAGGCAGCCATGACCACACGCTAAAGACACTCATGAAGGAGGACTTCAGAGCTGCTTCAGAAAGCAGCAAGAGTGTGGGATGGGTGTGTTTTAAATGGCATTTTTCAGGGTGCAATGTATCTTTTGCTGTAGTACATTCTACTGTAATTTTTCATCACATCTTGTACATATCTTGTGGTACCAGATTTTATCCATTCACTTCCTGAAGGACTGATGTCTTGGTTTCTTCCAAGTCTTAGAATAAAAGCTGTTATGAATAAACTTGTTATAAACACTAAACATGCTCTTTTTTTTTTCAGCCCTAGAAACTGAACCCAGGGCCTTCTCACTGAGTTACCTCCCATCTCTTTATTTTGAGACAGGATCTCACTAAATTGCTAAGTTGCTGAGGCTCTGTTCAAACTTGGAATCCTCCTGTCTCAGCCTCTGTAGTGTTGGGATTAAAAGGCATGTGCCACCATGCCTGGCTCATGTTCAGGATTTTTGTGTAGACCTCAGTTTCCAACTCATCTAAGTAAAAAGCAGAGCACAGCTGCTAGATTGTATGATGAGAGTGTGTTGAGTTTTCTTGGGAAGTGCCGAGGTGTGTCCCAAAGTGACCACCTTCTGCATTCCAGTAGCAACGAGTGAGGGAGTTTCAGTGACTCGTGTCTTTGCAGTCAGTGTTTTGGAGGCTAGCTGTTGTGGAGCAGGGTAGTATTTTTTTGTCTCGGTTTGCAGATCCCTAGTGGCAGATCCTCTTGGGGATCTTCACGTGCTCCAGATGCCCTCACTGTATCTTTGTTGGTAAATTGGCAGATCTTTTGCTCATCTCATGTGTCATTTGAAAATAGTTTTCACTGCTGTGTAGCTCGTCTTCTCATTCTCTTGACAGTATCTTTAGAGAGCAGAAGTTTTTAATTTAGTTAAGTCCAGCTTATCAATGATTTCTTTCATGGGTTATGCCTCTGGTGTTGTAGCTAAAAATTTACAGTCAAGCTCTATTCATGTAGGGTTTCTCCTATATTATCTTCTAGGAAATTTACGGCTATGTCCATGATCCATTTTGAGTTAATTTTTGTAAAGTGGTAGGGTCTCTGTCTAGATTAATTTTTTTTTTACACGTGGATGTCCAGTTATCCTGGCACCACTGTTGAAGAAATTTTCTTTTATGTACTGTATTGACCTTGCCCCTTTGTCAATAATCAGTTGATGGTGTTCTTGTGTCTCTAGTTGTAGGTTCTCTATTCTGTTATATTGATCTATTTGTTTACTCTCTCGCCAATACCATAATGTCATGATTACTGTAGCTTTATAGTACAGAAGTTGGATAGAGGCAATGTTTTCCCTTTGTTGTTCTATTTCAGTATTCAGTTCCTTATTTGGAGTCTTTGCATCTCAATATAATGTTTAGGATTAGTCCGTCAGTGCTCACAAAATAATTTCCTGGGCTTTGATTGGGAGTGTGTTGAATCTATATATCAAACTGGGAACAAGTGATACCTTAATAGTATAGAGCATTTTCATCCTGGTAAGTGGAAATATCTGTCCACGTACTTAGATCCTCTTTGATTTCTTTCTTCAGAGTATTTAGTTTTCTTTATATATATCTTATAAATATTTTTGAGATTTATACCAAAGCATTGTATATTTTGAGTAATATTATAAGAGATATTTTTAAAATTTTACATTTCAGTTGTTCATTGATGATATAAAAGAATAAAATTGACTCCTATATATTAACTTTTGTATCTTCAACCTTAGTTAATTCTAGGAGAGCTTTTTGATTCCTTGGGTAATGACTTTTAAAAACTTTTCACGATACGTTATTAACAGGCCTGAACATTTCTAGTGAGCTTGTGGCTCTGTCCACAACTGCAGGAATTTGTTGCTAACACTGAGGCAGGAATTTATGAGTAACAATTTGGTTTCTCAGTTTCTTCATTGTGTGATACTGTCATGCTTTTTATCAGAAACCATTGGTCACAGAGACCACAATCACCTAAGCTGTTTTGCTTTTTGTTAATATTATCGTCAGTTTGATCATAAATGGTAGGGGTGGTTGGGGATGAAAAGGCAGTGGGCTGTGGTCGGGCTTCGTGGGGTCTTTTGGTGAGAACTTAAAACGAAAGGCATGATCTTGATCTTAGATGGTCTTAGGTAAAATTTACCAGAAGTAGTAACCTGGAGTCTTTTCATACACAAGTAATGAGAGAAAAAGCTAGAATCAATGAACTGACAACTATTTATTGACAAAGACTTAGGAGAAGCCTATGTCTGTAATGCATGTGGGCATGTGAGGTACACATAGGTAGGTAAAACTCACTTTGACCTTAAAATCTCAAATGATTGAATAAATACTCAAAGGGTAGTATAATAGCTCTCTGTTTCCCATAAGGCCTGTGATCTATATTTAGGACTAACACTCACGTATTTTTAATTAAAAATCAATTAAGTGACTACAGTACAGTGAGCCTGCAGCTAGCCTGTAATCTATGCAGTTAGGACAACAGGACTAACTCACGTGACACGGACACCAACATGCCAACGTAGAGCCTAAATAATGAATTATGGAGTATCACAAACTGTAAGGAATATAAGAAGCTCTGTAGTTGTCTACAAAGACTTTGTCAAGCTTATGCTGGATCTCAGAAGATGAATAGGACTTGGAAGGGCAGAGGGACAATGGAGAGCTTCTCTGGTTGTGTGAATGCCATGCACAGAGGCAGGGTGCTGGTAATTAATAACTAACAATAGGGAGAAGATGCCCTGGGGACTGGCCTGTGGCCAGGTAGGCGCAGAGAAACTTGGTTAGGTGTAGAAATTTAGGTTTAGAGAGTTGTTGACTAGGAGACAGATCTAAGGAAGATTCACAGCAAATTATGCAGAATGCCAACAGGGAAGAACTATCAGAGACTGATGTCCCGTTTCACCTCCACAGCTCTATGTTCAAAGGGATGAATTTAAGATTATTACATGCTTTAAAAATCATATGACATGTTTTTGAGGCAGTAGAAAGTTGGCATCACTGGGAAGGTAGATTGGTTGGGAGTGACTTGGAGAGGGAAGACTGCTCTTGGGCTGTCACATCAGGGGAAGCCACCAGGCAAGTTCAGGAGATCACTAGAGACCAAGCTGGCGGCTGACACGGCCGGCCTGTCTGGCCTTTCTGGTTGAGGAAGAGAAGAGCAGAAGGAAAGCAAACTTCTGTGAAGGAATGAGCAGAGGCAGAATCAGCGCAGCGAGTGATTCTGTACCTGCTACTCCTTTCATTTTTGTCTTTCTGAGACAGAGTTTCACTGTGTAGTTCAGTCTGGCCTTAAACTTGCTGTGTAGCCCAGGCTGACCTTGAACTCATGGTGACCCTCCTGCCTCAGCCTCCAGAGTTCTGGGATTCCAGGAGCGGCCAACACACCCGGCTACCTGCCTACTCCTGAAACTCCTTCTCCAAGAGAACTTATTGTCACTGCCAAATAAAGAGGATAGGTTTCCAGAAGCCTTAAAGGCCATAGCGCTCAGATGGAAAAGGAACATCTGTTTCTGCTTTTTCTTCACGCTGCAGCTCCCTTTTCCTTTCCTTGCCAGCAAACATCAA